GCCCTCTGCATCTAACTGCATTAACGCACAGCCGATTGCAAAATTGCTGGCGTCACAGACCACATGAAAATGGTCTGTCCTGGTCTGCAATTGCCAAGATCGGCGATTGCATCAAGCTTTGCTTGATACCCTCAAATGAACGCTGGCACTCAGCGTTCCATGACCACTTGACATTTTTCTTGAGCAAACAAGAAAGATGAACCGTCATCTCGGCGTAGTTGCGCGAGTACTTGTGCAAGTACGCCGCTAGCCCAAGGAACTTCCTTAGTCCCTTGACATCGACTGGCACTGGCCAGTCGGTGATCGCCTTGATCTTTTCGGTATCAGGGCGTACGCCGTGTTTACCCACGATGCACCCAAGAAGTGGTATTTCGCTAGCCGCGAATATACACTTCTTGAGGTTGGCGTACAACTTATACTTGCGCATAAGTTGAAGAACCTGACGAACGTGAGTTCTGTGAACTTCAACGTCCGTCTTTCCGTCCATAGCCCGGCTATGGACGAACACATCGTCGAAGTAACTCGGTGAGAAGTCTCGCACCGGTCTCAACAGATTTGTGACACATCTGTTGAATGTTGCAGGGGCATTTCTCAGCCCCTGTGGCATAACTAGCCACTCCCACAGCATCCAGCTGGGGGTAATCACTGCCGTGAACGGGATGTCCCGTTCACGCATGAGGATATGAAAGAATCCATTTATCAGATCGATGGACGAAAAGATGGTACGCTTTGACATACCATCTATGATTACGTCCTTCCTCGGTATCGGTGTCTGAGCCGGTACCGTTGCAGCATTCAACTTGTTGAATGCGTGCACTATCCGCCACCCTCCTGTGGCCTTTCGCACACATACGGTCGGAGATCTGTGAGGGGATGTTGATTCCCTCACATGGCCCGCTGCTAAGCGATCGGCAAAGAACTTGTCGATCGCTAGCACCTGTTCACGAGGCAGTGGCCACTGCTTCATGACACAGTACTTCAAGCCCGGTTTGAGCTCGATCTCGTGTCGAGTGCCTTTGTCCTTAGGCAACTCGCAAGGTACGGATTCAGGGAACACATCCCTGAATTCGATCAAATCCTTATACAAAGGATTTGCCTGAAGTGACTCTCAGGATTGAGACGTGTATCGCTCAATCCGAGTCTTCTCATCGAGGACACTTTCGTCCATCGATGAGCTGCTGAGAACCCGTTCGTTCTCAGCAAATACTGTTGCCGACCGAATATCGGCCACATACTCATCCTCTGTGACGAGTATGCAGATCTGCTTGACTTTGCCACTACGCAGATCGCGCAAGAACCGTTTCGGTTCTAGCGTTGGCAACTGAGTTATCTCCGAAGTTGACTTCGGAGGCACAATCAGATCAAGCGTATAAGCGCCTACGCTTGATCCGTCATTAACCAAGACGTTCAACGTCTCGGTTTTTTCCTGGGTTTTTGCTTCTACAGGTTGCTGAGGGCCTGATCCTTCAGCAAGTGACTCTTGAGGAATTCCTTCCTCAAGTACGTGGGGACTTATTCCCTCGACGTCTTCTGACTGTGGCTGTGCAACAACAGTCAGGCACCGATCCTCTACGGTCGACTCTCCAGTCGACCTAGGATTTTCATGTTGCCTCTTGGAGCGACAGATTTCTTTCTTCTAAGATGCTGCCCGCTAGGCATGCATCCATGTTCCGGTCCACTCGACTTATTCGAGTGGTGGTCCTTCGGCGCAGCCTGTATATCTGTACAGCCGCTGGGAGCTTGCTCCACAGTGTAGTGATCAACTACACTGTGATCTTGTGCAGTCGTGCTAACGACCGTACCGCAAGTGAGTCCATCGCAATCACTCGCAGAACATCCACACGCTTGTGGACGCTCCAAGATGTTCATCAGATGGCCATCTGATGAACAAGCGGCAGGCATCTTCACGGATCGATGCTGCCAGCTCACCCTTGGCTCGTATTTTCTGAGCCAAGGTAATCCCAGGATGACATCAAAATTGTCATCCAGATCAAGTACGATGAAGTCATCATCGTACTGTTCGCCCTCTAACGTGTAGTGGATTCCTACTACACGTTTCTCAACGGTTATCGATTCGCCTGTTGAAAGGCGCACCGTCATCCTTGTGAGGGGAATGTCGCGCTCAACGAACTTGAGCCTACGACCCTCTAATGACTGGCGTCGAACAAAATTGTTCGACGCCCCACAGTCTACTAGGGTACGAAGCGACAAATCGTTTGTCGCTTCCAACTTCAAGGTGATGAGCGAAACGTCATCACCAGGTGCAGAGACACACAATGATTGTGTATCCGGAGCAACTTTCGTCAAGAGATTTGCAAATTCTCTTGAGGTTGCTGGATCAGTAGGGCGCTCCGCCCCTACTGACCCCGACCATTTATTGAGGTCCTTCTCGCTGTTGCGGTTTCGCAACAGCGCTGGACCCACGCCCATTGCCCTTTCTGGCAAATGGTCGTCCATTTCGCTCAGTACTGTTTGGTACTGGGCGTGGAGCACTACACTCATATGCGTAGTGCCCTAACTTCTGACAGCGATTGCACCTCTGCAATCGATTGTTGTTTGAAGAGCGAGGTCTCTCGCTCTCAACATAGCAGAAGGCCATTGGTTCTGGACCTCCGATATCTTGTCGTCTTAGTGGACGATAAGAGTTTGAGCTAGCATGAGACAGGATCATGCTAAAGTCTTCCTGTTCCGCGGCTGATATCTCTTCTTCAAGCGTATTCGTCTCAAGGTGGAACAGGTGGCTCCTGACGGGCCCTTCTGCGAGCCCTTGCATGAACACCGTGATCAACGTGTGTTCATGAACTGGGTTAGCAATTATACTACTCGCAAGGAGTCGTATATGTTGTGCGTAAGCGTGCACATCACGCTTACCCTGCTTGAGTTTCAGGGGCTCTGAATGAGCCCTGAACTCAGCCCGTGTCGGCTCAAACGTTTGTCTGAGCCGGGACTTGAAGTCATCTAGCGACCTAAACACATGTGGGTCGCTACTCTCGAGCCCCAGGTACCAAGTTTTGGCACGCCCTGCCAAGTGGGTCTGAGCAAATGTGAGTTTCATTTCCTCATCTTCGACGCGACGAGCCTTTAGGGCTCTGTCGAGTTCGACAAACCATAGTAACAGGGAGTCCTCCGGGACTCCACTGTACTTGGAAGTGTCAACCTTCATGACTTCGGGACGACGCGCATGCGCCGTCCCGCCCACAGCAGCATGGAATTGCTGCTGTCTCAACAGCTCTGTCTGTTGAGCACCGAGTTCTCTCAACTGCTCGGCCTGTTGAGAGCCTTGCTGGTGAAGCAAGGCTACTTTCTCCATATCGGCGACAAGTTCTTGTTGAATGAACTGGGCGATAGCGGCATGTTGTTGGTCTCTGTCTAGAGACTCCAACATGGCGCTAACGACGAGCTCGCCTACAGTTGAACTCATTCGTTCTACCGCACCCCATTCGATGTCACTCAAATGGGTAAACCCTTCACGCGTGGCGTGAAAGGTGTCTTCTTCATCCAACATGTTCATGTTGGATGTTGTGGTCCTTGGAAGGACTACAAAGTGCTACCAGGTGTAACGGGGTACACCCTTGCGTGAACTTAACGCAAGGGTTTCGGGTGCCCCGACGGACGTACACGAGGCAAGCGAGGAAGCGTAGGTAGGGTAAAAGTAGAACTGGTATATTAATATAATTAAGTCTTTAAACTACTGTCTCTTCGTTTGACTTAGTTTAATTATACTAATATAACTGAGTGTATGGTGACGTCTCGTCACCACTCATTGCGCGCGTCTTGCGGCGATTGGTGGGTTGATGTCGTCAAGCTATCAACCAATGAGCAGACTCTTTGGTCGACCCATCAATATCACCACTTTGGTGATATTGTTAAAAGAATATTCAACTTCATATTCTTTATTGTCACTTTCCTTAAAGTGACAATTTCATGTAACGGGCTGCCCCGTTACACCATCTGACTCCCCTTGGGGCTACGTCCGAGTCTGCACACTTTACGCGCGACTTAGAGACGACGGGTGTAACGGGGTAGCCCGTTTCATGATATTGACATTACGAAGAAAAATGACAATAGAGAATATTACGTTGGATAATCTTTCAACAATATCACAGAGCATGATGATGTTGTTGAAGATGACCGAAGGGTCTACTCATTGGTTGATATCGTGATGATATCAACCTACCAATCGCTGCTAGACGCGCGCAATGGGTGGTGAGTAGACGTTATCATACATTTAGTTACATTAGAATAATTAAGTCAAGACAAACAGAGATACAAGAGGTTTAAAACTTAATTATATTAATAACAGTTTTATTTTCTACGACTAGTCTTTCACCTTAGTCGTTCTACCTTCCTCTGTGTAGTTCTACACCTATCTGGGCACTGACTATCACTACAGTCAAGGATAGTAAACCCCGTACTGGTTGAACAGTACTTAGTTGTCGGTGCCCCGTTACAACGGGCGTTTATTGCTTTTTTTCGAGTGAAAGGATTGGTGAGGACTTGGTCTTTGTGTGTGAGTCTGGTGAGAGAACTGTCAGCAGAACCGTAATATGGACTGAGGACGCTCCATGAGCCGACTGCTTGACGTGTTGCACATCGTCGCCGATCGACGCATGTTTGGAGTGGGTACAGGAGGAACTGACCGCATGAACGATCGTTGTGACGAAACGACACTGTGCTATCGATATTTGCGTGGCGAAGCGGTGAGCCCTGGAGCAAGACCCGGCAGCGGTTGATCGTCAAACGTGTCTGTTCGGATCGTCATGCGATTGTCGAAAACGAACGGATTGCTTCTTGCGATCGATATTATTCTTCGATGGACGAAGACCTTTTCAAGGATAGTCGAATGAGGAGTGTCTTCAAACGCACACGGCTGCAAGGATGTAATCATCGCGGTAATTTATTTCTCACAGCAAGACGGTGGCAGACCCGCCGGGAAATATAAAGTCAAACGAATATCGCAGCGACACAGATCAATTGAGAAAATGCGTTTACTCTATTTACTACAAGCGGAGACTGCGGTAGGCCCTCTGACGAGCGGCCCCGACGCCTGGGCGTACTGCATACACGTCAACTGGCGTGTCTCTCAGACCAGTTTTACCACCGCCGACAGGCGCCTTCGAAGCCTGCGTGTTTCCCTTCGACGCCGTGGGAGGTTTCGCTGCTCCACCGACACCTCCGCCGTACGCGTTGTTGTTCTTGTCGCCACCGGCACCACCTGCCGCATTACCGACCGCATCTCCAGCCGCTGGCTTGCCGGCCTCGGGAACGACAGCGCCACCACCGGCTCCACCAACAGCACCAGCGGGCTTGTCGCCGCCGGACGCGGTCTTGTCGCCACCGGCAGCGGTCTTGTCGCCACCGGCAGCGGTAGTTGTTCGGTCTTTGCCGTCACTCACAGGCTGTCCAGCACCTTTCGTGCTGTCTCCACCCGTCTCGGTAGCTCCACCGACACCTCCGCCGTACGCGTTGTTGTTCTTGTCGCCACCGGCACCACCTGCCGCATTACCGACCGCATCTCCAGTCGATGGCTTGCCGGCCTCGGGAACGACAGCGCCACCACCGGCTCCACCAGCAGCACCAGCGGTCTTGTCGCCACCGGCAGCGGTCTTGTCGCCACCGGCAGCGGTCTTGTCCCCACCGGCAGCGGTAGTTGTTCGGTCTTTGCCGTCACTCACAGGCTGTCCAGCACCTTTCGTGCTGTCTCCACCCGTCTCGGTAGCTCCACCAACACCTCCGCCGTACGCGTTGTTGTTCTTGTCGCCACCGGCACCACCTGCCGCATTACCGACCGCACCTCCAGTCGCTGGCTTGCCAGCCCCGGGAACGACAGCGTCGCCAACCTTGCCTGTTGCTCCATCCGCGCACGGTTTCACATTGCTACCAGTACCAGCGTTTCCGCCTGCACCGGCAGTCGCAGACTTTCCTGGTCCATTGGAGACATTTGAGACAGGTCCAGCAGCTCCATTAACTCCGCTGTTAACATTGCCATTTTTGCCGCCGCCATCAGCAGCGCCAGCGTATTGGTTGACCGCGTGTTGGTTGCCAGCGTATTGGTTGCCAGCGTATTGGTTGCCGACCCCCCGTCCGAACAGCCCTACGTTGATACCAACTACGCCGCGGACGCCGCCACGAGGAGCATCGTACGGTCGCGCGAAAAGCGGGCCAAACGTCTGTGCGGCTTCCGTCTCGGCGTGAACATCACCCGAAAGCGCTGACACGGCGAGGCACACTGCGGCAAACTTGCTGCTTGTGAACATAGTTGCAGTTGGTTGTCCCGAAAACAAGGGCTGCTGGAATGTATCTCGACGGAGAAAAGTTGACAATGAGCTCGAGACTGTGGGTCCCCCTTTTCCAGATCAGTGCATCATCGCCAAGACTGCAGTCGGGCACGCTCGGGATACCCGGCCAGACTCGACTGCAAAACACAGGTGGCTGGCCAGCGGACGTACACATGATGGCCGCCAGCTTTCTCTCAAGAGGATAGATGAGTTCATATTGCTTCGAACGGCCACGCGTCATATGTTTGAAACACCGTCAGCTGTAGGCGACCAGAAGCATTCGCATTGTTTTGAACAGCACTAACCTTTTCTTCAAATAGCCACTCGTCATATGCGGGATAGATCCATCTGCAAAGGTCGCACCAAGAGCGCATCTCATGAGGACGCTGCCGAGCTGCCGAGATCATGGCGGTCCTGTGTCGAAGCAAAGATGGTCGCTTCGGACGTGGTCCATGTGCCTTGAATGTGCTTCCCCGTGCGCGATTGCACTGACGGATCTTGACAGAGCTTGATAGAGAGTCCATGGAAGCAATGCGGCCTTGTCGTATTCGTGATAGGAAGGACGTCTACGTCGTATCGAGTGAAACGTGTGACGATTCAACTTCGACTTTGTCGATCCAGACGTTTTAGTACGGCACATATGGACAAGACGACATATGGTGCGTGGTAAACATCGTCGACCGGGCCAGTAGAACGACCTTATTCGTCACATGCCACTTCTTATCCGACTTGTCTCGCGGACAGCGTCTCCAACAGATGGTCGTCGTGTCATCTCTCGGGTATTGTCAACCACCAGTGGATTGGGTGGCGAGACTTCGTGAGCCATCGACGCGTTGGTAGCTGTCTCGGTATGTGTATCGGATGCAAACTCGGCGCTGTCGCAACGACGGTAGATATGCACGTAACCACTTCACCGCATGTCTCGGGCTTGTATCGTTTTCTAACCCGCGAAGATCTCTCGGCGGGGTACTGCAGTACGCCGTTTCAGCGGGTATCTAGACCTAAGCGATGGTCAACGATGTGATCATCGTTGCTACAACGAACGTGCAGACTCGCTTGTCAACATAGAGCGATGGGCGCCACACGCAGCTCGCAGGTTCGCTACAATTGAGCGATTCATGCGGAAGACCGATGGAATAGTCACGGGCCTTTTGTGTAGTTATGTCAGCACTCGATAATGCTGTATGACACCGCGCAAGACGTGCTCGTGCCAGTCTTGGGGGACCGCACAATACAAAGTCCTACGGCTTCGCTGTACAGTAATGCGCGCTAGGAACGATATCGGACGAGAGGCCGACGGTATAATGGACATACGTAAGCGCTAGGCATAGTGCTAAACGACATTGATGTACCTCACTGAGAAACGATGTGATCCTGTAATTTCTGATCACGCTATGTGGTTTCGGATAGATTGCCACTCAATAGGGCGTATGGGTGTGTCGGGGACGTTCTCATACGCATTTGTCTGGGTGGGACCGCTGCACCCTCGACACCACACTTGATGCCGGCGTCTTTCGGTGTGCTGTCTCTTTGAATGCAGACCATACCACTGGATGGACAACGTGTACAATCATAGCAGGCGCTAGTGTGATCAATTTGTGAGGACCGGAAGGAAGCGTCTCTCCGGCACCGTCGGATCGAAGCGTGCTGGTGGCGTCCTCCTTGACGACTGACTTCTACTATCTGCTTCTCAACACGGAGTCAATGACTCCGCGTCAAACGTAGATGAGTGTCGATTTCCGATCGAGTGTTCGTGCTCGATTTTGTGCGGTAAGCCTGTAAGGGGATTCTTTTTTGTTCGTTTGGGGAAGTAGCATAAGCTACGTGTATAACTGCAGTTATTGGACATAGTGACACAGCATCGATGAACGCGACCATGTATGTGCTCGCGGGTTGTATTCGTTCAAGTCTCGTGTCGTCACTTGTTTCTAGTTATGCGTACATTCCCGCAAGCGTAACCATGTGTGCAAAATAATCCATGAAAACATTTCTTCCTTACGGTTATATAGGGGCGTGCCCAATCCGTACTTCAAATTTTACTATTCCGTACTTCAAGCGCGCCAAATGTTTGTCCGGACAAAAATCAAATTACTCGTCGGACAATTAATTTGTTTTTAAAAGGAAAATTATATCTTGTCATGCTTTAGTGAAGGGGGTTAGAGTTACGGAGTTTATTGAGCGTTCTTGTTAAGTTCTGGTTCCTTATCCATTAACCTTTACACAAAGTTGTATCTGAGATATTATAAAGCTTCATACACCACATCCATTTCATTCATCCGCTACTCCAAAATGTCGACAAACGTTACTGACCATGATTGCGCTGCCCTTGATCGTCCTCTTGAAAGAAGTACCCCCGTCACTATTAGTAAAATCTACCAAGAGACTCATGTGTCCACTGTCGAGTCCAACCATTTAGGCTGCAACGACGATACAGAAACGCATGAAGACGGTCAAATTCATGGCGGTAACAAAAATTTTGTGGAGGAGTAAAGCGTGTTTGTGAATTTGACCACCCTGAAGACAACGAAGTGGAATACCACTTTGAGTTTGATGTATGTCTAACCCATTTTGAAGGACAAGAGTTTGATACGTTCGAGAAACTCGGATGGCTTCTGTAACGGGGTTGCACCACATGTGTGACTTACACAACAAGTGTGAGTAACATAACATGTGTGAGTTACACACGGGACGGAGTCCCATTAAAGATAATATTCGAACACCATATCGATTCTCGAAGGTTGGCGCGTGTCAGCCGACCGAATTGGTAAATCATTTTAGAGGTAATGATTAGAACATTAGTGTTTAGATTAAGTACGTTTGTTAAGGTGTTCTTTTGGATAAAGATAAATAAAGTTCAGTTCACCTTTTGATCACTTAAGACACGTGTCCCACGAGGCGTCTTGAACGTTCAGGTCTTAGCAATGCATGTGAAGGTAGGTACTCTTGAGCACTATGTGCTGTGATTCTGTTGAATCGTTTTGTCCCCCAGGAACAGAGATCGTAAGCTCTTTGAGCTTGTTGACTATCTGAGGCTGGTTATCTGAACCAAAGTTGCTCGTAGAGCGTTAAGTCTTCCTCTGACCTCAGGAGCATTGTAGCTTTACTAGAGCTGTAGCGATGTAGTCAGAATTTTATAAGTTTGCAGTCAAGGGCAAGTATGCCCTCAAGAAGACCGGTGGTTTCATCCAGAACTTCCCGTTTGCACGCGGAATTAAGATTATAAAGAGCAGAAAGCTGATGAAGCCCCAGAGCGCGAGGATACCTTCCACCTTACCGGGCGTAGCTGGAAGGCCTAAATTAGGCGCGAGTCAGAATACTGTAAATACACCGCGAAGCTAGTCAATGTTATCCACAACCACAAGCCGACATCTGATGTATGAGTATTTTTTATGTGGTCCGCAAGTTGTTCGATGTTGATGTCTAAAGTTTTTGTTGCGGGCGCCTGGAATCGGAAACATAGGCAAACAACATTCTTGGCGTCCTAGAGTCTCCCCGAATGTAAGCTTGTCTAAAGGAGATCTACAATATGATCGTTCAGCACAAAAGGTACCAACTTCGAGGAGAGTGTACAATGACCGTCTTGATGCGCAAGATTTCAACAGATGAAGCTATGCATTAGTCCAAGATAGACGACCAAATAATTAACGCATTTGTTGATTATTGAAAGCGCGATTACAAAGATAGTTTGACATGAGCGGACAACCCATGTTGTTCAGATGAACTGTACTAAATGGACGAACATATATGGCATAAAGATGCTCCGCATCGACGCCGGTATCAAATTGATTTAATACTACACCCTGACCTACTGTTTAATGCGTTCCACGCTGGAATCCGATGACAATTGGGTGCTACATGCATGCCTAAGATAATTGAGGAGCCCAGATCGATTCTTACGGACGCGGAGCGAGCATAATCTCACGCTATTGACGATACTGTCGGAAATACTCGAGCCATACACAGGCTTTGTGTATGGCACATAGTCATGAATATCACGGAACACCATAATTTTTGGTTCATGTCACAGATAATAATAATGAGGAGAGATTGACCTAAGACGGTTTTTGAATACGGATTTGCACCATTTTGCTTGATTCGCGTTCTGAAGAAGTCTTCAAACACTAATTGGACGTAATAAAGTCAAAAATACCGGGTTGTGTGACCGATCACATTCAGCATCAATGGCTTGACATCTTCAACGAACGATTCTGTAACCCTTGACGTTTGAATGCCTTTGTCCGGGGAATTGGCACACATTATATGTTTAAATCAAACTTCGCAGTCTGAAAGAAACGCAAACCAAGGTCATTTTCGATTTACCTAAAAGTAAATCAGCGTGTCGAGGGGGGTTAGATGCAGTAAATAAGCGCATGAGCGAGAGAGAGATCTCGGGTCACGACAAACATCCTCTCAACCAAAACTAAGTAAAGTTGATCTTCTTTTGTCAAGCACTGAATCCACCGCATAAAGAGATCTGACTTATCAAGGTTAAAATTAAATAAAGAATTACAGTCTGAAGACGATCACACTCCGTCCGAAAGCTACAATATTTTTAGCAGAAAATATAATTATCTGCAAATTACTTTACCTCGCAGATCGTTTCTAAATGTGTATCAGCATGTACAGCAATATGATGAAAGCATACATCTAGTATGAAATTTCCCTCCTCGGTGCACCTTAATTGTTGCTACTTTATTTTGCAGAGGATATATTGATCTTGATTGTAATGTAATTACAACGCCTGGTCTCTAGCGGGAGGTAGAATAAGAGCGATCCTTAATTGTAGAGGCACGACGGAGGCGGTATCGTACTCACGTCCGATCCTCTGTCGTTGTGTGGTTGTCTCGTGATCGTTTTAAGACGATTTTGTAAGGTAGCGCAATGTGCTGATATTCGGAACTTTATCCATCGGGTGACTGGACAGAACATATACTTATGTATGGAATAATGTCCAAATTTTTGTCCGGGCAAACACATGA